ATGTTTTGCACCAGGGCATGCATTTTTAGTGATTAGGATGGACATAGCAAGCAGATCACTTGCATTAAGGGCACCTTGCAAATAATTACGTGGACCTTAATGGGTTGCCAGGAATAATTTCAGACTGTTAGTCCCAAATGCAACTGTTGGTCCTTTTCATTATTAGACTGTATGTTTCCTTTTCTTTTCAGCATCCACTATTGGATTCATGGTGCTTTCCTTATTGTATTGATTCCAACTCAGGCTCCTTTTTTATAGAGGCATTTGTCAATAGAAAACAGTTCATAGATCCGCTTTGAATTAGCAGAGACATTACCCAATTTATTTACACAAGAATCCAGAGTACCTTCATTAGGCCTATGGTAGAATTTAAGGAAGCAAGACTGCAATTGGGATTAATTTTACTGTTGGCTAACAGGTCTCTTACTATGACTTGGCGTCTTGATCTCCCTGTCCATACAGACAAATTATTTGCATGTAGATTCATGATGCTTAGCCTGTCCAGCAGCAGTTCCTCTGAGGAACATTCTCTCTCCCCTTGCATCTGGTCCCAGGGGGACTATCAGTTACAACACCCCAGCCCTGCAAATTGTATTGCTGCATTCTACCTCCAGATACAATAATTGAGCCAAGGGAAAGTGTGTGACCCCCACAGGAGCTAACTCCCCAGAATGTTAAAAAAATTTGGAGAGAGGCCATCACACAAAGGGACACGGGGCTGAGAGAGAGGCGCAGCCCCAGATACAGCCATTCCTTATGCCCTACCCACCCCCAGACTTCCTGGGAATGTGAACCAATAAATTCCTTTCTCTGTTTAATGAATTCAAGTTGGGCTTTTCACTCAAAGCCCCAAATGTCTTCACTAATATAACATACTTTCAGATTTTCTGAGTGTCCTCAGAAGCATGCATCAGCAACTTCTAGAAGGCACAGGCTTAGGTTATTGGGATCCATGAGTCCTCGTCGTAGCTACAATCTTAGAACTCCCAGGCCATCCTATGCCAGGTTGAAGGGCTTTAGAAATGGAGAGCCTAGGGGACATGGAATGCAACACAATTTCTTGGATATATTCATGCCTTCTGTAATACACACAAATACATTCTGTGCTTGCTTTCTTAAGTTCCACATCTCCCTGTCCTTTGGAGCCAAAGCAGGACCAAATCCTTGTGCTGTTGACACTTGGATGGACTCAATCTTGGAGAAGACAAGAAGACCAAGGAGGATAAGTGTCTGGACCCCCAACACTGATAATGCTTGATGTCATGGGCTGGCCAAAAAGTCTGGTCCCAGGGTTGGACTCCAACCCTACCAGTGGTCCCAAGCTCTACAGAGGTAATCAGGAAAGAGAAACAGACCACAGCATGCCACCCAGTGGCTGTAAAATTATCCCTTTGGTCAAGACACATTTTTTTTCTCCTTCGTTTTCTAAAAGATACCTTTCTAAACCTGTCTAAACTCTGCCTCACTAGATTCTTGAACTGTCACCTGAAGTGTTAGCTGTGACTCACAGTATCGTAAGATAAACTCTACAACCTCCCTCCTCTCCCCAGGAAACTTTCTCCCGGAAAGTTCCTGATTGAGGCCCAACCACACTAGCCAAAACTCTGATCCAAGTGGCTGAGAAATGCCTTAATGATGTTAGAACCATGCACTTACATGTGTTCGCAGGTAATGATCAATAGTTACCCTTCTTTGTTGTTTCATTTCTTTGCAGTTTAACTTGATTCCCTCTGTTTCAGACTGATGGGAACTGAAGTCAATTCTTAAAATGCTCAAGGAAGGAAAGCTCTTTGTGTTAAAGGCAGTCCCCCAAGGTGCTAATTCTATATTTGGTAGGTTTTCCCCAGGACTGTGTTCCTCATCCAGAAATTTGCCTGAGCTTGGTGGTTTGCATGTACAAATTCCAGTTGAATAAATAAACCAGCTAAAGTGCTAGGTTGCCTCAGGGACTTACAGAGCAATTTCTGAACTTCCATTGCCCCCCAGTGGCAGTTTTGCTGGGGATTTTCTTACTCCAAAAAATTTGGGTTATGATTCTTCCCTCCAAAGCTGTTTAAAATTAAAAAACAAAACAAATAATTCTAACATTGCAGATTATGATATATTTGTGTGGAGGTGTATTAATAATGTAGAGTTAATAGCTTCTAGGTCACAGAGTCATCAATTCCTGTACTTGACAAGAATCATGCAATTGACAGATCTTACCAATCAGGGTGCCCTTTGCAATAAATGCCTATCAATCATAGCCGCAATGTCCAGTATCAAAGTAATTACCCCAAATCAGTTGTTTTTTCATTTAGAGGATCTAGATTTGGGTTTCCATTTTTCTGGCCCAATTAAACCACTGTCATTAACTATGATTTTTTTTAACTCATGCTATCCCTTTTCAAATTTTTTCATCATAAGATGTTTTATAACATTGTCCAAAGAAGTGAGAAAACATTTAAAGCCCCCCAAATATGAAGGCTTATAAACCATGTATGTACAACTTTGCAAAAGCCAACATCAAACCCACACAAAGTAAGTAGAAATATCACTGTTGAGTTGTCACAATTTCAGATTATCCATGAAGTGGCAGAATCAAATGAATAAAAGTTTTAGTGATTTCAAACTTCAGCCAGATAAAACTCAGAAATAGGTGGCCAAGTTGCCCTAACGCCTCAGATATGGATAGTTTAATAACACTGAATAGTTTCAATGGTCAGTAGGGACTGATGTACAACATTTAATCCATCCC